GGCTTATAGGAAATCCTTACAGCCACGCCTAGGAAAATCCTTTACAGCCGCACCTAGGAAAAACAAAAAACGCTTCCGCCCCTAGGATGGATGGGGCTGATGAGCTTTTTTTTGCGTTCTCCACAAAGTGGGTCGCCTTCTTTAGCTTTCGGGGGCTGCATACAGGTTGGAGCCGCAAGACACAGAGAAATACTCACACACGATGCCATGTTTTTTTGTTAGGCTTGGGGCTTGGGATCTGGGCAGGGTCTGGGCTTAGAGTTTCTCCGCATGGGCACCATTCAAACGGACAGCAATCTGTAGGGCCTCAAACAACCGGCCCGGCAAAGGCTGCTGTCGTTTAAGAGGAGTTTAGATGCTTCCTCGAACAAGACCCTCACTTTGAGAAACTCGAAGTCTAAAGCCCGTAGCTCTCGAACCCAACAGCTTGAATCCCAAAGCTTAAACCCTTCACTCCAAACCCTTGAACGGTGAAACGTGAAGCCCCAACCTCAAGCGGACTTCCAACGAATGGCTGTCATGGCCCGTGGCCAGTGTCTCTGAACCATCTGTTGGTCAGCTCCCTAAGTCTGGGGTTCCGGAGGTATAGAAGGTCACATACTGAAGGGCACTGAAGGGTTATACAGGACCCCAAACCCCACCTTGTGCGGTAGGGGGTGTTTTGAATCCTTGACGCCCTCCGTGAGGTCATAGAAGGTCAAAGGCCCTAAACTTGCTGGATGCGGTCGTCGGTTTTTGTGCCTCTGAACATTCGGGGCACGGTGTCATGGAATGGAACGAATTGAAAATGAAGGTGTATGAGGATACAGGTTTCAAGATTTAGGGTAACTTGCTGGTTGTAGGGAACGAGTTAGAATTACGTAGAAAGATTATGCTACAGCTTTGGAATTGCAAGCTGTTCTACTTGCAGGAGCTTATATAGGGACCACTGTATTTGTTCCTCCGTTCCCTGTTGACCCTACTGCGACAGTAAGTAAACCTTTCCCGAGATACTTGAACGCATGGGGTGCTGAGGTCCATGCCTTTGAGATGTTGGATGTCAACAAGGCACTGTGTTTTTCGGGATTGTGGGGAAAATCAATCGATCCCTGTAGTAGCCCCTACATACTGTCGAGCAACATGGTAGCTTGTATCTTCTCCATTCGTTCTACGACCGCTAGCAACCAGCAAGAAAGTTTCAGGGTTAGGGTATCCCAAGCCCGGAAGCCCTAAACTGGAAGTGGAGACTTGGCCGGTTTACGCGTTCCTAGGGTTTCGGGGATTCTCGCATCTGGCATTGCAGAACCATCCATCCAGTGGACCGCAAGATGGACGCAACAATCTCGATTTTTTGTTCAAGATTTGTCTCTCGAGTCATGACTCTGATTAAGAACCCAGACCCAAAAGGACGATTGCGCAGCTTTTCATGTGAAAGGCCTAACGCGACACTTCTACACGCCAGAACCTCTCAAACTCCAGAAAGAGTGAGGGGTCCTAATTGTGCAACATGCGCGGGCAACAAACTAGGCGTGAGATGTGAGGTCGGAAATGCAAAGCCACATATCTAGATAATTAAGTGTGTGTGCTGTGCATACATATACAGGTTCTGACATACATGTATTAAATCAGCGTTCCACGTGCGCGTGTCACAGGGCCAGTTCTATGTCTCGCGACTGGAAGCTATGACAACTGAATCTTCTTTCTGGTCTGGGTTCTTCAAGCAACGTCCCTCATTCCTACGCCCCTTAAGTTTCGCCTTGATTGGAGTTAATTGCACTTAAATGAGCGAATAATACAGCAGGAAGCGTGTAGGGGGGGTAGTATAGAGGGTGTTACGAGAATGCCTGATTTTTATCCTCTTCTAGGGCGCATCGCATTGCAGTTCCCTTTAGGGCTTAATGTTCTGTGCGTTCCGAATACCTGAACACCTCCGAAACCCAGAGCCCTCCAACACCCCAACCCCAGACCCTAAGCCATTATCCCTCCCCAGGATAGACCTCCCAGAATGAACGGTGAGTCTTAGGTAGGAAGATATGGGCTTTTAGTGTGGGTCCTTGGCTTTTTTGAGGGCCCGGCCCGAGAGAAATTTTGTGGGGTACTCTAAACTCGAAGCCCCAAAGGCTGGGTTGCCAGAATGAACTTTCAGGATGGCTACATCCCAATGGCAGACCTCCGCAGTGTTCTGATGAAGGAAGGTTGCTGCCTCAGCAGGCATGGTAAAGTAGGTGCCTGAATGAGTAGACTAAGGTGTGTGGCATAGATTTTGCTAGACTGCTAGAGTTTGGCCTGAGGGTTATGATATGCAGGAATACACATCCTAACTTTCCAGGCTTCTACATCAACGCGGGACTTGTATGCTTTGTTCTGACGTTTGCAGTGCACGTTACACCAGAGCAGAACTCTGCATGTGATCAACGATGAAGCTTCGTTCTTTGAATCAGCTAACTAGGTGTTGCCTTACAGCATGCCGCAGGTGGTCCGGCTGCGTCAAAGGACAGCTATAATTCTAATAATTTCCAATGCTCGTCATCCCAAAGCGCACAGGAATGATATGTTTTTCTTTGAGGCCCTAAGCCTTCATCCTTCAACAAAGAGTCTCCAAGGGCTCCAGTAAATCATGGTTAACCCTCTAGTCACTAGTCGAAGCTCAAAGCATCAAATCTTCAATCCTGGTGCCGGTCATAGTGTTCTTGCCAGTGTTTAGGGTGCAGAGTCTGGCTATCACAGGGTTCTCCAGTTCATTCTTAGCCGTGAACATTGTGGTATAGTATTGGGGTCAGTATGATAGTCTTGTCAGTCTGCAGCATTCAATGCGGTAGCCAAGCCGAACGAGTAGCGTGCCTAAAATGGGCCTACAATCCAAATTTGACTTAGTATAAAGACTGGCAGAAGCACATGTCGGCAGTCTGACAGTCTCTAAGGTTTTCGTCTGATTGTGTTCTTGTAGGTGCCACCCTTGGGCTTTGACATGTGCACCCAAAACCCTGAGAGCCAACACTCGTAAATTTGTCCATAGAGCTTACAGCATATTCAGGAT